GACTGGGATCTGACTTGTCCATTATTGCCATCAGCTGGGATCATAATGTATCTCTAGTTAACTTGTTTTTTTTTGAAAAGAAAATAACATGGAAGGTTGATCCAGTTTATATACATTTCAGTAAGTTTTTGAGAACTTTCTCTCTGGCAAAGTAAAAGCCTCTGAGATCCAAGGGAAAGTGGTACATTGAATCCAAAACTGGCTTGGTAGCAGGAAATGTTAATGGTTGGTGGGTGCTTTGATTGGAAGGCTGTTTCCAGTGGTGTTCCATAAGGCTGGTTCCTTAACTTTTTTGTGGTATGTAGTAATGAACTTGAATAAAACACATTTTGTTAAAGCATTAAGCATCAGGACAATTCGCAAGAAAAGCCAATGCTGAGGCAAACAGCAGTTATACTGTATGGGAGGAGTGTGCTAATTGGTTGGGAAATGGACTTTAATTGGTAGAGACATGCCATGGAGATAATAACTGATTAGTCAAGGCATTGTCATGAGAAATGAACCAAAGAATGGCAGTCAAGCATTCCACGGTGTTGAAACAGCTGCAGCCTGTGTACGTATTCGTTCTGTTTAAAAAGAACTTGGTAGTTAACTGTCAGTCATCAGCTAACTATCAGTGCCAGAGTCCAATTGCCTGTTAATCAGCACACTCCTTTCACATAGTATAAATGTGATTTTCCTGTGATTTTGGTATTCTTGCAAATTGTCCTGATGACTACAAGACAAAAAGCTTTGATAAGATTGGTCCTTTCTCAGCAATATTTTAAAGATTTAACTTAAATGTAAGGAAAGATGTAATTAAGAAGTTTTAAAGATGATACAAAATTTGCCTGTTTGGTAAGGAGAAAAGCTGTTGATTGAAGGAAGATACCAATGGATGGATCATGTTGTACAAAAAGAGTAGCAAATGTAATTCAATGTAGAGAAGTGTGAGGTAATAAATATCGGGAAGGCAAAAGGCAAGGAAATATTCAAAAAATGATAGAATATGGAGAAGTGTTGAAGCACGGATGGACTATGAAGTGCACTCCATAAATAAGTTAGCAAGACAAGTGGTTAAAAGATGGTTAACACAGCAAGCCTTACTTTTCACTTTAGCTGAGGTACAGAATAAAATAGCAGGGAGTTTATGCTAGTATAAAACATAGTTAAGACACAGATAGAGAACTGTGTACAGTTCTGGTCATTATAGGAAGGGTGTGATCAGACTAGGGAGGATGCAGCAGAAACTGGGAGAATTTAGCTTCAAGGAGAGATTGGCAAGGCAGAGATCTTTTTTTTTGAAAAATAAAGTAGCTAGAAGGAGATGCAATTGAGGTGTATAAAATTGGGAGGAGCTTGTATAGAATGAACACAAGGAATTATTCCCCTTAGCAGATGGGGGTTATAACCAGGGCATAGATTAAAAATAATCTGTTAGAGAGTGTTTTTTTCCACTCCAGAGGGTAGAGGGCCACTGGAACTCACTACTCAAAGGGATGGTTAAGGCAAATACCCTCACTGTATTTAAAAAATACTTGGAGTGATGTAACGATAAAAGTTATGTCCCAAATATACTTAATTGGCTATAATGCTACTTGGAATTTTCTAAGACTGCAAAAACACTAAACGAATACAAGTCAGTCTCTTTTTTTAGAATTAGCTTTAAACCGTGATTTTCAAGCACAGCCATAATTTCATTGATGGTTCTGAGAGTTTAGGTAGTGAGCCATTGAGCCTTACAGAGAAGGATGTTCTTCTTCTCCGAGCATTTACTTTTTTAAAAAAAGGAACGAAATGCAACTAAACATTTGCAGTTCTGACTGCTTCCAATCATCACAAGAAGTACTATTAAATAAAAAGTTCTTACTTTGCCTGTTCAACTTGCTGTCTGCCTCAGGAACTTTCACAAATCCTCTGATCTGAGGTCATGTCAAATGGACAACTCCACTTACACTTGCTCAGAAAGCCCCAAGAGCCTCAGAGCTTGAGACAAATGCAGACAGAAAGGAAACCTGATGAACTGGATCCTTGTCATTTTTATTTCATTACTACACCTGGGGAGTACAGATACATCACCAAGTAAAGTAAATACTCATGTCTTAGTACAAACAGAGAAATTGCTGAAATAACTCAGCAGGTCTGGCAGCATCTGTGGAGAGAATGTTCTGAGTCCAGTAAGCCTTCTTCAGACTTGATAGTAGCTCTTCGTAATTGTTACTAGAAGGTAGAAATAACAGTGGAATACACCTGGTCTAGTATCAGTCTCTCATAAACTCTGCCTTCTTTATTCCCAGTGAGCATTGGCTGGTTCTTCCTGTACTTTTAGGAATCCACACAAGCACAGTGCATCAGCTCTTATGTTATATCAGTCCATTCTAATATATCAAACTATATTTACTCTTGACTTTTAACCATTAACTTTTTCATTCAATGTCAATCTCACCAACATTTTGTGATTCCTAAAAGTGTTCACACAGAAAGTATTTTTCCTCATGCTATTCAGCCCCATCGCTTCTCTCATAGAATGCCTACAGTGCAGAATCAGGCCATTCGGCTCATCAAGTCTGCACTGACCCTCTGAAAAGCATCCCACCCAGACACATCCCCTCTAACCTTATTCCCTGTAATCCTGCATCTACCATGGATAATCCACCTAACCCAGACATCCCTGGGAACTACGGACGATTTGGCATGGCCAATCCACCTAGCTTGCACATCTTTGGGAGGAAACCAAATCACCCCAGAGGCAACCCACGCAGACATGCGGAAAACATGCAAACTCCACAATGACAATCGCCCAAGGGTGGAATTGAAACAAGATCCCTGGCACTGTGAGCCAGCAGTGCTAAATTATTTTTAGAATATTTTTAGCACCATAAATGTAATCAAATTCAGTCTTCTTCTGCAGTGTTCCATTTCCAGTGCACTCCGCCTTTCACTCATCTTGTCAGCTTCCATGTGGCAAAATCCACCCCAATCCTACAGTAGAACTGAGAATACTTTCTCATAGGGGACAATGAATAGCAATTGAGATTGGAAGCCTCTGATCACTTTCCCTCTCTAACACAAGCAATGAGATCAGCTAATACTGTAGATTAAGAACTGACTTCAAAGCCTTCTTGCTCTCATTGACTCCATATGACACCAGATATTGCAGTGACTCACTCAGCAATTGGGCAATGTTTCTACAAACTACAGAATGCAAGAACATGGAATGAGCATGACAAAATGCAGATCAATCTTCTTAATTTTTCTTTAAAATTGTTCCAGAATTGCATTTGATCAGCTGGCCAATTTCAAAATGCAAATTTTCTGTTCATCATTGGACACATAAAAAGCTCTTTAGACATCCTATTGCAGTTCATTCTGTTGCTATAAACTGTGACTGTTCATCTGATTTCTTTGTGTTTTACGTGTACTAAATAATTTCCAAAAAGTGGACTTGAATACTTTAATGAAAAGTGAAATAAAAATGTAGACTTTGATCTGGTTACTGCTTAACAAATCAGAAACAGCCAGTGTTCAACCCTTCAACTATAAATCAACAGCACATGCTCTCCCAACTATGACTTTCATTCCATTTATTATAAACAATGCAGACCCTCACATGCATCACATTACTGGATCATCACATTATTCCAAGTAACACAGCATCTACATTGCTGTAAATGAAAACAACACTATTGAGCTACTAAAGAGAACCTTCTGAATTTTTGTTCAACTTATCAATCATCAGATCATTGGCATTTCCAGTGCAAAATGTACATTTTATTTTATGTAATAAATTTATAATTTGTAACATTTTTCAGTATAGCTGGCAAAATCATCCTGAGAAAGCTACTTCGAGATCTGCTTATTGGGGCACATGAAAAAAACACCTGAATCCTGCAAACAACCCAGAGAAGCCAGTACAGTTTATTCCATGAGACTGGGGACAAACGTATGAGGAAAGATTAGAAGAAAAGGCATTTTTTGAACTTAAAAGATGGCACAGGAAAGAGGATATTATGTAGATGTAGTGAATAAGACCAGGTGGACCTCATTGACTAGGAGGTACTTGATTGGCCCAGGTTGACAACCCTAATCAGGAAAGCTCTAATTAACCAATATAACCAGGAGATTAGCCAGTGTTGTGCACAAGTAAATAAAGGGTGAGTTGGTGATGGGACCTGGCCTCTGTGCAGTTGTTTCAGTAGATAAGAAAGGCACCAAGAAAAATAAAGAATGTTGATGAGTATTATGTGAAATCCATTTTTGCAAGAACAGGTTCGAATTGCCAAAAAGCCAATTCAAGACTTTTGTCTAAAATCTCTTCTTCGCACATAGGATGATCAATGGAATGATCTTCTATGTATGGTAATGTAGACAAAACTGTGGACTAATTCCAAAGACAGTTAAATATTTAATAGAAGATTAATGGATTTCTATAGAATCATGATCCAAATTGCTCAAGTTGTTTCCATTGTCCATTCTTACCCTTGTAATGTAATTTCTTACATTATTACAAGACTCAATACCTGATTTTAATCAAATCATGTGGTGTATCATGTTAGCCTAATTGCATTGCATACAATTGGGGAAACTACATTATACCATTTCAAGGAAACTACAAATACATTGTTTTTTTTTCCATTATATAGAACAACCGTATACATAGGACACTGCAATGCAATAATACAAACCTCTGATGTTAAAATTATGTGAGTAAACTAGCAAGTCTGAGTTATTTTTAGAAGTTACTTCTTTAAATATTTTTACCATGGCAGTTTACTATTTACTCTTTGCAAGGTAGTATGTACTTGGTTCGAGTTTGTAAGTCTCCAAGATTCAAGTTCCTTCCAACATTTATCCCCCACCAGCAAAAGATTTAAAACTATTTCTCAAAACATCATAACAGTGAACATAAGGTTAATTTCATGCTAAGAAAAGAGTTCAAGTGATTTTGCTCTCTAAGCAACAATATTGAAAAGAAATGTTTACAATGTGCTTTAAAAAACCAATCAAGCTCAGCTGTGTACCTGACTTTCATTTCTTCAAATTGATGAAGTAGATTTTGTAACTCCTTCCTTTTCACTTCATTTTCCTTCAATTCAAAATGATATTTTTTAATAGCACGACACCGCTTTGCCTCATTGTCTCTGAGGAATTTGTCAAACTTCAGGGTTCTTTCTCTAAACTATGGAGAAAAGTCAAACGAATACAAAATATCCTTAATAAGACTACCTATTTGCAGGAAAAATAATTGTGTTTAAAATGCTTGAAAAAAATAAAAGATTAATTGACTTCATATTAAATAGCCATAAGCATTTACTATTGCTGATAATACCAGGAGATATATTTCCAAATAATTTTAATATTTCACTTGCTCACCAATAGAAGTGCAACAACAAATGGATTGCAAGGAATGCTCGCTGATCTAAACAAAGTTTTTGCAGAGCAGTCAAATTTTAGGTTTAAATTCATAATCTAGTAATCAACCTAATATTTTATGTTTTCTTACCACCTGCTCCTTTCTTTCAAATTCCACCGTCCGCTGGCTAATAGCTTCCATGCGTTGAACAAATTCTTGCCTTTTAGCTGCGAGTTCTGCATTAACTTGGTCAACTTCTACTTCTTTCTTCAGCACCAAAGTTGTCTGAGGTGTTTTACTGTCACTTGCAAGAATCTCATCAGCTGCCTGAAATAGTAATAAAATTGAACAGCAAGGCTGAAGCCATGAAATTACTTAAATGCAGGGGCCAAAATTTTAAATTTGAGACTTTAAGGTCAGAGAACTGATGTATATCAGTGAGGTTGAAAGAAATGAACCAACAGAGGTTGGGGCATAATTAAGTACAGATAATAGATTTATAGATAAGCTGAAGTTTATGAAGAGTGAAAGATGGGAGACAGACCAAGAGAAGTTTTGATTTGTTCAACATGCACCGAAGGAGGAACACAGGTCCAACATCTGCCCTGTTACTTCCTCCCTTCTCACCATCCAGGGCTCCAGGCACCACTTAAAGTGAAACAGCAATTTACTTATATGTCTTTCAATTTAGTATACAGTCTTCGCTACTTATGACTGGCTCTACTGGACAGATTAAATGAAGACATAGTGATGGCTTTGTGGAACACCTCCAAACAATGTGCAAGCATGACCTTGAACTTTTTGTTGCTTGTCATTTCAATTTTCTACCGTACTCCATTTTAAACCTTTCAGTCCTTGATCTATTAGAGTATTCTAAATTTGATGTAAACTTCACATAATGTAAGTATCTCATTATCTGACTGAGCACTTGCAACCATTTGGATTCAACAATTTTAAGATCATAACTTGTGCTCTCATTTTGTTTTATTTGCAGGTAATATTTGTGATATTTGCAGGTTTGTTTTCTTTCCTCTACTTTCTTCATCACTTAGTCTATCCCGTCATTCATGTCTCATTGAGATCCATATTTTGTTTCTTTACTTATCCCTTTAAATGACAAAAGTATCAAAGTCAATCTCCACTGCACTTCACTACACAGAGACCTTCCCATTTGTTCTTATTCCCATACTTTCCCCCCTTTTTCTCTACAGTTCTTTTGCATTTCTGACTTCGAGTTATGATGAAAGGTCACAAACCCAACCCAACTCTGTTATATTCTCCACAGATGCTGCATGACCTGCTACATATTTTCCGTTTTTTTCCCCCAGATTTGAGCTGTTGGTCTGACATTATTCAGTTCTAATTTATTACAAATGCAAAGTTTATAAGATTGTTACATTTTGGGATTGCCTCTTTAATTTAAGATGTCATAAGGGAATCACATGATATGTTGGAAATTTGTTCAACACCACAGCTGAGTGATCTGTTTTTTTTAAAAGATTAAAGGGGAATCTAGCCTAACTCACTGGGCAGAAGGTGCAAGATGTTCACACCTGTAGACAATGCTAAGAGCAGTTGTGCTGACTGTAAGGAGGTCATTTGTCTCCAAGTCTCAGTGAGGTGTTAAGAATGTGGGGCTTTATAAACAGTTATACTTTACACTATCTGTTTAATTACAAGATGAAATGGAGTTGGGGGCATCCAGAAGATAGCAAGTTAGCATGTGTACTTGAATGTAGGGTTCATGTGATTCATGTTGCCATGGAGATGACTTCAGAGAGGGAAGGGCCCATAAAAAACCATTATATAGAAACAGCAAGAGAGAAAAGCAAGGATGAGAAAATGAGACGAGATGAGACATGGGTGGCACAGTAGCTCAGTGGTTAGCATTGCTCCCTCACAGTTCCAGGGATCCGGGTTCGATTCCACCCTCGGGCAACTGTCTGTGTGCAATTTTCACATTCTCCCTGTGTCTGTGTAGATTTCCTCTGGGTGCTCCAGTTTCTGCCCACAGTCTAGATGTTCAGGTTAAGTAGATTGGCCATGCTAAATTGCCCACAGTGTCCAGGGACATGTTGGTGGATTAGCCATGGAAAATGCAGTTAAAGGATGGGGTGGAATGCTCTTCGGAGGGTCGGTGTTGACTCGATGGGCCAAATAGCCTGTTTCCACACTGTAGGGATTCTATGATTCTAAAAGCAAGGACGAGAAAAGCAAGAGAGATAGTGTCTTGCAGGGGAAGCAGAAAAAAAACTATTGCTCACCACACAAAATTTGTAGACCATACTCAGATCAATAAGACTGAGCCCTTTTGGGGCTTAAAAGAGGCTGAAAGATTTGCCTTTATTCTGGAAAAAAAGGAAAGGGCTTTCAAATTCAACCTTCACAGTAGAAGTCAGTTCTGGGATTAAGAGTTTCCCAGCTAGAAAAGGAAAAGTGGAGAAGCAAACCGTTAAGAACAGAGAATAACTTTGGACAGGTTCTGAGAGAAAATAAGTGGACTCCTAAGGAACAGTATCAGACAGAAACACAACAGGAAACTGTTGATTGTTTTAAAAGCAAAAAGGGGATTTGTTTTCTATATATAGAGTATACATTTCATACTGAATAATAAACAGACAATATTGCTTTTAGTTTTTTGCAGTCAAGGTCTTAAAATGTGAAATCATACCATATAGTACTTAAAGTCAGCCACCATATCAGTCTCTACAGCTTCATAACAAAGTTAATCAGTGTATGACAAGATACAATTAGTCATAATAAAAACCTCCACAACTAAGACCGAGATTTGCAGCTATATATCTAAGATTCCATTTTACTAGCAAATGGAACACTATTTAAAAATTGAGCCTTTGTATCCTATGACTCCTTAATCTACACTCCCAATGGGTTATGTTTTCTAGATTTTAGTTCAGGAACTGTTCTGCATATATCAGAGCAAAATACTGGAGATTGTATCCATGATCTATACTGATTTTTTGAAGTCACCACATTAGCAGAAAACAGTGTTAGGCTAATGTAATTTATAACTAGGTTTTGATCAGTTCAATGCAATATAAAGGGTAAATGCTAAGCAATTTACAACTCCACAGAATAATATGGAAAGAAAGAACTTGCCTGTCTGATTATTGGAATGTAATTAACGTCTTCATCGTCATACCTGGGAAAAGGATTTAAACATTGCCATTAAAAGCAGATCACATATACAGCAGTTGATTTTAACTTTCACCACTGGGCAGAAAACCAGGGATGTTAAGGACTATATTAAATTGAAAAACAATTTTGCAAAGAATAGTGATAAATCAGAGGATTGGGCAAGTTTTAAAAGCCAACAAAAGTTGAACCAAAAAAATGGAAAAACAAATTGAGGGCAAACTAACACGTAACATAAAAACAGACAGTAAGAGCTTCTCCAAATACATAAAAAGGAAGAGAGAGGTAACGGTGAACACAGATCTCTTACAGAATGAAGCTGGGGAAATAATAATGTAGAACCAAGAAATGACAAAGGAGTTAAATAAATACTTTGCATCAATCTTCATGGTAGAGGATACAAATTGTTTTACAAAAATATTAAATAAACAAGGGGATTGGTTGGGGGGTGGGGGTGGGGGAATAAACACAATAACTACTGAAAGAAAAAGTACCAGGGAAACTAATGTGATAAATGCTGAGAAGTCCCCAGACCTGAAGGGTTGCATCCTTCGGATCCTAGTTACAGAAATAGTGGATAGACTGGTAGTAATCTTCCAAAAATGTTTAAAATCTATAAAAGCTTCACAATATTGGGAAACCGCCAACGTAATGCTCTTATGCAAAAGGAAGGAGGACAAGAAAAAGGTAACGAAAGGCCAGTTATCATTGGGAAAATATTAGAGTCTATTATAAAGGATGTAACAGCAGAGCATTTAGAAACACAAAACCCAATCAAACACAATTATGGAATTATTTACAATGTATATTGATGACTTGGATGATGGAAGTGAATGTCACCAAGATTGTGGATGACACAAAAATAAGTGGAAAGGCAAGTGGCGAGAATGACATAAGGAATCTGCAAAGAGACATAGATTAAATGATTGGGCAAAAATGTGGAAGATTGAATATAATATGGGAAAAAGTGAGGTGATGCACTTTGGCAGGAGGAATATAAGAGTTGAATATTATTTAAATGGGGAAAGTCTGCAGAAAGCAGCAGCATAGAGGGATTTGGGGAATCTCACATATGAATTATAAAAAAGCCAGCAAAGTTCAGCAGATAATATGGAAAACAAATAGACACACGAACGGGAGGCAAACAGAGAGATAAAAACCACATATGGGGAATAAGTAGCGGGACTAAATAAGGATTAGGAATCTTGGTGGGCCAAAGGCCTGTTCCTGTTCCATATTATTCTTTGTTCTTTATAGAACGTTGACCTTTATTTTGAAGGGAAAGGAATATCAAAATAGAGAAGACTTGCTAAATAAATACAAGATACTAGTCAGACCACAGTTTGAATACTGTGAAAAGTTTTGGTCCGTTTATCTAAGGAAACACATACTGCTATTGGAGGCAGTCCCAAGAAGGTTAACTAGGTTGACCTGTGTATGGGGGGATTTTCTTATGAGGATAAGTTGAGTCGATCGGGCTTGTATGCATTGGAGTTTAGCAGAATGACAGACCTTATTGAAACACATATGATTCTTAGGGGGCTTGTTTCCCATCGTAGGTGACTCAAGGACTAGAGAGCTTAATCTTAGAGTTTGGAGGCACCATTTAAGATGGAGATTAAGAAGAATTTCTTCTCTCAGAGCGTAGTGACTCAGTGGAATTGTTTACCAAGAGCTGTTGGGGAAGGCCCATTAAGCACAGTCAAGGCTGAGATAGACAGATACTTAATCAGTATGGGAATCAAGGGTTATGGAGATAAGGCAGAAAACGTAGACGTGAGAATTATCAGATCAGTGATGATCTCAACAAATGGTAGAGGAGACTCGATCAGCCTAATTTTATTTCTACATTTTATGGTCTTATAGACTGCTGTGGATCGAGAAGGCATCTCACCATCACCTTCTCATGGGCAACTAGAGATGAGCAATAAATGCTGGCCCAGCCCACAAATGAATTTAAAAACCTAGACAATAAACATCTCCATCAAGAAAGATTCATATTTCCTCTTGACATTCAGTGACATTGCTGTTGCTGAATTCCCCCGCAATCCACATTTTGTAGATTACCACTGACCAGAAACTGAACTGGACCACAAGGAAAGATCAGAGGTTGGGAAATCTATGGCGAGAAACTCATTTCCTTCAGCTCAAAGTCTGTCCATTACCACAGGAGAAAAAAGTGTGATGCAGGATTCTTCATTTGCCTGAGTAAGCATGGCTTGAAAAAACACTAAAGAAGCTCAACATCATCCAGGACAACAAGGTGCAGGGCTGGATGAACACAGCAGGCCAAGCAGCATCATAGCAAGACAGCCATGCGACTGGAATCCACAAACATTCAGTCCTTCGGCCACCACTACCAAGAGCAGCAGATACATCGCAGTCATAGTGTTATACAGCAGTCCAACTTCGGTCCAACTTGTCTGCGCCAACTAAGCATCCCAATGTGATCTAGTCCCATTTGCCAGCATTTGCCCCTACCCCTCTAAACCCTTCCTATTCATGTACCTATCCAGATGTCTTTTAAATCATATAAGTATACCCATCTCCGCCACGTCCTCTGGCAGCTTGTTCCATACACGCACCACCGTGTGAAAAGGTCCCCTTTAAATCTTTCTTCTCTCACCTTAAACCTATGCCGTCTAGTTTTGGACTCTCCTACACTGGAACACCATCACCCATAAACTCCCGTCCATGCCACATAATATCCTGACTTGGAACTGTATTATTACACTATTATTGCGATTGTGTTAAGGTCCTGGAACTTCCTTCCAAATAGCACTGTGTGCACTTGCACTGTATGACTGCAGCAGTTGAAGAAGACAGCTCACCATCACTTTCTCACAGCCAGTTAAGGATAAGCAGCAAATGATAGTTGTGCCAGTGATGCCCACATCCCATAAAAGAATTCTCCAGTGGAATGAAGGCTAATAGGTTCAACAAAACGCTCTTAAAATTGAGAGGGGTTTAGCAGCATGGATAGGGGCAGTATTTTGTCTAGTTGGGAAGTCAGTGAAGAACTGTCATTAATTGCCGGCAGGAGAAATTTCCTTCAGTGGAGCATGGAATCTTTACCCACAGAGAACAGTTAAAAGAGATTATCTTTTTACAGATAAACTTTTGAAGCAGTTGAAGGTACAAGATAATGTAGAGAGGAAGACCAACACAATATAGTTAGAATTGAGAAAGATAGTAGGAACTGCAGATGCTGGAGAATCTGAGATAATAAGGTGTAGAGCTGGATGAACACAGCAGGCCAAGCAACATCAGAGGAGCAGGAATTTCTGAAGAAATGTCTAAGCCCGAAACGTCAGCCTTCCTGCTCCTCTGATGCTGCTTGGCCTACTGTGTTCATCCAGCTCCACACCTTGTTATCATAGTTAGTATTGAGTTGATCTATTCAATAATTAACAGATTAGCCAAACTCCATGGCCTCCTTCTGTTATAGTTCCCCTCTGCCAGCCTCAAACAAGGTCTGAAGTGTGATGCCACTTTATCACCTAGCTTCCTGCAGTAGTATCTAAGAGCCCTCGCAGTGCAGTGGCTGTGTCCCTCCCTCTAAGCCAGAAGAACCGGGGTTCAAGATCCGTCTGCTCCAGAAGTACGTCATAACTTGTCTGAACAAGTTGGTTAAAATATCTACAACGTATGCCATGACTACTCTGCACCACTGCTGAAAATGGGGAACCTGAGCTTTTGGGTGCAAAATGATCAACTCCACAAAAAGATAAATTATGAGCAGTAATAGACATAAAATTAAGAATCCAAAAAATATCGTGACGATCAACAATTGAATCAAAATGTCAATTCAAACGGCGTAAAGGCCCCTGCCATCACAAGGCCAGGTAGAAGTCCACGTTTACCTTTGGTCCCCAAGCTGCGTGACGAAGACGTTTCTTTTGGGATTTTTTAAGTGAAGCGAATAGCGGCGATAGTCTGTCAGGCTAGGCAGTTTGCCGTCGTCCATCCTTCCTCAAAAAAATACCTCTCTCCCCCGCTGCAGAAATGCAACAAAGTTTGAGGAAAATGCCTGAGGCGACAGAGAGAGAGAAAAGCGCCCACGGTTGTTGTGGCTGGTGCAAATAAAATCCTGGCAAAAACAAAACTGGGAATGACCCGTTGCCTGTGAAACCATCTCTTTGCAAATTGCAAACTCGGTGGCTGGCCGCTTCATGAAGCAGCTCCGGAATCATGTGACAGGGAGAAGCAAAAACATTACACCGTCTCTATGGGAACCACCCGGAGACTGGGAAGAAGCCGAACAAGATCATCCTTGAGCTCGATCCAACATCAACACCAAAGCATTCCAACATTTCCATTTCGGAGTTTCTCTATTCTCTAGATTTTCAAACCATCCCCTTTTCCCCACCAGCCCCCCGCAGCTGGGATAGAATTCCAGTGGTGTTCCCTCACCCATCGACTCAATGTTAACACCCTACCCCAGCAAGGGTGGAGAGCATCCCAAGATTGCCCTGGACGCTGGAGTCTCCAGAAATTACAGGCTCACTCCCCAAGCAGCCCCGCCAGGAGACCACAGAGGTTAGGAAAGAAATGCTTTTTTGTTTGAAGACTTTGACCAGTTGTCAAAATATCAGGTAAGAAGATGAACATGCTGTTTCACCCACAGTTAACTAAACTAGGTGACTGGAAGCAGCAGGGAACCTTCAGGTATTTGTATAACTCAGAGTTCTCAACTTTACCTCAATTGCATGCTTTACCGTATGTTAATTTTCTGTGTTAATGTTGGAGGACAGGCAAATCCCTCTGAACATCAATTGGGCCCAGATATTCCAATGGCCATGTTGTCTTGGAGCAGCACAGATTGGAGTTGGGTGTTGACATTTTGTGGAATTGCCAACACAGCTGCCTCGATGGGAATTGTCCAGGCAATCTGAAATTCTCTAAGGCAATTCCCACACATTTGCAACTCTACAGGAAGGCTCCTTAAATTTGGAGAATTTGGTGGATTCCAACTGACTTAAGCTTAATAGTTACACAGGAAAGATGAGACGATCAAAAGCCGCCTGGGTAAGTCTTAAAGTGAGCTCCTGACTTACTACTGAACATACCGAAGTGCACCCCCGAGTCCCCTGACACCACTGACCCAACATAACCACTGATCTGACCTCGGACCTGATTCTGCATCCCCGCCCCCAACTCTCCCTACCAAACCAGACATTTTGTAAACCAAGCCGCACCTTCATCTCCATATAAGTGTTTATTTCCCTTTACTTTGGTAATTCTTATGAATTATCCTAATGAGTGCAAAATGTAATGCTTCAATAAAATGTGTATTTTTTCAGCAATATTCAAGTTCTGTCAAATTATTACTCTTCCCTTTTATATATTATAGAAGCTTTCACAGTCAGTTTTGTTATTGCTGTAGTTTACTTTCAACTTTGCTTGTTTCCAATTTAATTAATAAAAATTACTTACAGGTATTAAAACTCTCCCAATTCTTGGAAATACTATGAGCCGCTTTATAGCACGACCCTTGACCTTTATAGTTGGCCACAGGTGGATTGCATTTCACATGGAGTTTTTCTTTATTAACAGAATATATATTACTTGAGAGTTATGATTATTTATTTAAATGTTTATCATTATTTTCCCATTGTCATGCCTTTCAACATAACTTCCCTACCTATCTTAGCTAGCTTGCTAACTCATATAGAATCCCTCCAGTGCCAATAGAGGCCCTTCGGCCCACCAAATCTGCACCAACCCTCCAAAAACCATCCTACCCATGCCCATTCTATCCTTGTATTTACCACGGCTAATCCACCTAGCCTGCACATCCCTGGACACGACTGGGAAATTTAGCACAGCCAACCCACCTAACCTGCACATCTTTGGACTGTGGGAGGAAACTGGAGCACCTGGAAGAAATCCATGCCGACATGGGGAGAACATGGAAACTCCACATAGACAGTGCACACCCCAGGCTAGAATCGAATGCAGGTCCCTAGCGCTGTGAGACAGCAATGCTAACCACTGTGCGACCCCTATCATATCTCTGTCATTAGCAGAGACATCCTCTAGTTTTAGATCAGATCACACTTGAACTCAATGTTGAATTCATCACATCACAATCATTCTTTCCTAAATGATACCTTGTTATGAAATTATTGATTAACTCTATATAATCACACAGGATGAAATCGAAAATAGCCTGAAATTTAAAAAAATGCTAGAAACACTCAGCAAGTTGTGGCAGCATCCAAGGACAGAGAAACAGTTAATGTTTCAGATCTGCGACCTTTCATCAGAACTGGGGAAAGTTAAAAATGCTTTCAACAAATGAGAGGTGAAAGAGGACAAAAGGAAGATATATATAGGATGGAAGATTGGAGGAATTGAGAAACATAGTAGTTAGCCTTAACAAGGTATGGAGCTGGAGGAACACAGCAGGTCAGGCAGCATCAGAGGAGCAGGAAAGCTGACGTTTTGGGTCTGGACCCTTCTTCGGAAATGGGGGAGGGGAAGGGGGCTCTAAATAAATAGAGAGAGGGGAAGGCAGTGATAGAAGGTGGATAGTGGAGCAGATAGGTGGAGAGAAGATGGACAGTTCAAGGAGGCGGGGATGAAGCTAGTAACCGAGACTGCTTTGTGGAGCACCTACGTTCGGTTCGCGACAAACAACAACACCTCCCAGTCGCGAACCACTTTAACTCCCTCTCCCACTCCCTGGACGACATGTCCATCCTGGGCCTCCTCTAGTGTCACAACAATGCTACCCGAAAACTGGAGGAACAGCGCCTCACATTCCGCCTTGGAACCCTACAACCCAATGGTCTCAATGTGGACTTTACGAGCTTCAAAATCTCTCCACCCCCGACCTCATCCCATGACCAGCACTCCCCTCTCATCCCCCCCTCCTTGATCTGTCCGTCTTCTCTCCCACCTATCCGCCCCTCCCTCCTCACTGACCAAACCCCATCCCAACTCCCTACCTACACTCACCTTCACTAGCTTCATCCCCGCCTCCTCGACTGGTCCGTCTTCTCTCCACCTATCTGCTCTACTATCCACCTTCTATCACCGCCTCCCCTCTCTCTATATATTTCAGAGCCCCCTTCCCTCCCCCATTTCTGAAGAAGGGTCCAGACCCAAAACATCAGCTTTCCTGCTCCTCTGATGCTGCCTGGCCTGCTGTGTTCATCCAGGTCCACACCTTGTTATCTCAGACTCTAGCATCAGCAGTTCCTACTATCTCATAGTAGTTAGCCTTCTAAAGTCAAAGGGAATGTGATGAAGCAAGAAAAGAAATGACAAAGGAGAGATGTGCATGCAGTAAGTTTGTTGCTGTCTGAAAGCAAATATCAGTGAAAAACTAAATTATGCAAAGAAAAGGGATCAAAATTAGAGGACAACATTTACGGTAAGAAGGTAAAAGCACATGGGATCCAGGATAACTTGGCAAGATGAATCCAAAATTGGCTTTGTGGTAGGAAACAGAGGGCAGTGGTAGAAGGGTGATTGGAGGCAGGTGACCAATGGCATACCACAGGTATCAGTGCTGGGTCCCATATTGTTCATGATATATATAAATGAAATAGATGAGAATGTACAGGGGGATGATTAATAAGTTTGCAGATGACAAAAAGATTGGCCAGGTAGTAAGGAAGAATGTCTTAGGTTGCAGGAAGATATAGACAGGTTGATCAGATGGACAGATCAGTGGCAGATAGGATTTAGCCCTGAAAATGCATTTTGGAAGAAATAACTAGACAAGGAAGTACTCAATGAATGGCAGGACACTAGTAAGCTCAGAGGAACAGAGGGATCTTGGGATGCTGGTCCACTTGTCCACAGGTCCCTGAAGACAGCAGGGCAGATTAATAGGGTGGTTTAGGAGGCATATGAGACATTTGGCTTTATCACTTGTGGCACAGATTAACAGTGAGATTATATTGGAGCTGCACAAAACTTTGTTTAAGCCACAGCTGGAGCATTGTGTGCAGTTCTGGTTGCCACACTGCAGGAAATTGCAACGGAGGGGATACAGAGGAGATTCACCAGGATGTTTAACTATGAAGTGAGACTGGAAAGGCCTAGGTTGTATTCTTTAGAGCAAAGAAGGCTGTGAGGAGGGACTTTATTGAAGTGTACATGATTACAATGGGCATAGACAATTTGGAGAGGAAGTAGCTGTTCTCTTTATTTGAAGGGTCAATAACGAAGGAGCACAATTTTAAGGTGAAGGGCAGGAGGTTTAGAGGAGATTTGAGGAAAATATTTTCACCCAGGGGGTGATGGGAATCTGGAACGCATTACTTGGGAGGGTAACAGAGGCAGAAAACCTCACAACCTTTAAAAGGTACAAGGAAGAGCACTTGAAACATTATAACATTCAAGACTCTGGGCCAAGTGCTGGAAAGTGGGATTAGTGTAGATAGCATGGTACAGACTTTTGGAGATGGCTAGAATTGCAGATGCTGGGAGATAGTAGGAACTGCAGATGCTGGAAAATCTGAGACAACAAGGTGCAGAACTGGATGAACACAGCAGGCCAAGCAGCATCATAGGAGCAGGAAGGCTGACGTTTCAGGCCTAGACCCTTCATCAGAAATGGGGGAGGGGAAGGGGGTTCTGAAATAAATAGGGAGAGAGGGGGGAGGTGGATAGAAGATGGATAGAGGAGAAGATAGGTGGAGAGGAAACAGACAGGTCAAAGAGGCGGGGATGGAGCCAGTAAAGGTGAGTGTAGGTGGGGAGGTAGGGAGGAGATAGGTCAGTCCAGGGAGGACGGACAGGTCAAGGGGGCGGGATGAGGTTAGTAGGTAGGAAATGGGGTTGCGGCTTGAGGTGGGAGGAGGGGATATGTGGGAGGAAGAACAGGTTAGGGAGGCAGGGACGAGCTGGGCTGGTTTTGGGATGCGGTAGAGGGAGGGGAGATTTTGAAGCTTGTGAAATCCACATTGATACCATTGGGCTGCAGGGTTCCCAAGCAGAATATGAGTTGCTGTTCCTGCAACCTTCGGGTGGCATCGTTGTGGCACTGCAGGAGGCCCAGGATAGACGTCGTATGAAGGGGAGTTGAAATGGTTCGCAACTGGGAGGTGCAGTTGTTTATTGCGAACCGAGCGTAGGTGTTCTGCAAAGCGGTCCCCAAGCCTCCACTTGTTATGTGGAACAATCCCTCTTCCGTACCTACACTGGCCCTAAACCC